TATCTAAAATTTGGATGTGCTAAAAAAAAAAAATAACTATTCAGTTAATTAATACAGTGCAATACACAATTTGAGTCTGGTTCAAAGCTGAACCTTCAACATCGACTTTTATATTATCTTGACTAGTCTTTCTTAAACTGTATTCCGCGAAACCCTGGGGTTTCGCGAAGATCACTTCAGGGTATCACAAAGCTTAAGTAATTTTTTAAAAATTTTAAAAAAAATTAATTTAAAATGTCCAACTAAAGATTAGTAATGGTAAAAAAAATGTCTAGACTCCATCTTAGCCATAAAGTTAGAAAATGTGTGCTGTATTTACAAAATTCAATTTCCGAACAATGATATAGTAATATTATAAATTAATACTTACAATTCGATTTCAATAAGTCCATCCATAGTATAAGTCTTTATGAATTTTTTTTATGAAACAATTGTATATAGTAACGTTTTATGTTGAGTGCTAAAACAGGAGTGAAATATTGAAATAATAACAAACAATACAATTAATCCGTTGCTGTGGACAATTTCACGAATATTGACTGTCAATAATATTTCAATTTTCAACCGAACTCTAAAATATTATTCAAATTTAATTTATTTAGAGGGATTAAATCGTTTTTATATTTTCCAACCCTTTTTTAGACATTTATTTTATTCAGCTAACATTACCTCAATATTTCACATATTGCACTAAATGCAATTGTTATTATCAGGATTATCATAACTAAATAATATTTATTTGTTATGACAAATAAATGTTTTCAATCAATGCTTTCTATAAAATAAAAATACATATTGCTCATTGAATTTAATATTATTTGATAATACATAATAGAAAATATAGTCATAAAAAAAAATTTTATTTAAGTCAACAGAATTGATTTTAAATAATGTTTATAATGTAATATAAATAACGTTTATTGATTGTAATTAATTCATGTGATTCAATATGAAATAATTCACAAATCTAAATCCAATCAATGAATTAATATATTAAATTAAATTTAAATTAATAATTTAATTTAATTAATTAGGTAATATAAAAATAAATTATAAAAATGAAAATATTAAAAGCTTGTCGCTATTGATTGTATTTCCTGAAGAAAAACGTTGACAAAATATCACTGGTAAAATTAGTTTCCAAGTCAATACATTATATTGCGTTAAAAATGTACACAATTAGCGTGTATATGTGAATTATTATTTATTTGCTATATTTGTCCGTTTTTCTACTACTATAAATCAAGGGCGTATTTGAGTTGAGGCCATGAGGAGAGGAAACTAATATTTATTCAATACAAACTTAAAAATAATTTACAGTCCATTACCTAAAGCTCATATTTATGTTATTATGATAACATATTATATTGATGGACTAGTAATTTATATTCTTAATTATTTATACATTTCATTTTATAAATAAATCATTGTATTATATTCAAAAAAATACGAGCCACGGGGGGGGGGCGAATCCCCCAGTTCGCCCTACCTCAAATACGCCCTTGCAAGCTACGAACGAAAATAAAAACGTACTTCCAATCAAAATGATATCTACGTAGTCCGTAATAACTTCCAGCAATTATTAGTATATTCGATTCAAAGTAGAGGTGTATTATGGACATATGTCATAAATCATTCTATGAGCAAGACAACTTTCGACATTTCATCGATTTTGGGGGAAAAAAAAATTTCAGTAATTGTTAAGTATGAAACAACTATATTATGTTATTTTGTAATATTAATTCCATTTAATTCTTATAATTTTTTTAATAATTCGTAATTTCCTCAAATACTGATCAAATTTAATAATGCAAATAATTTCTTATTATTTTCGCTATAAATTATTAGTTAATGAAATCTAAATAACTAATGTATTTTCGGGGAAAAAAATTTGCAACACTGCAAGAGTCTTGCAGCTTCGGTATTGTTTTGGTCTTGTTCTTGCAAGTCTAATCTTGGTCTTGGTCTTTCTAGACCAGTACCATCATGGTCTTGGTCTTGGTCTTGTAGCAAGAGTCTTACGAGATTGCAAGACCAAGACCAATTTTGATCATCACTAAGTTCCATAAAAAAACATATTGACATCGGACTTTTAGTGTTTAGAATAAAAAGTATTTCATAATCAATAGAATATTATACAAAAGAAAAAAAATCTTCAAATTTATAATTTGTCAAATATGTAAAAAAAATTATCTTCATTTACAAGAATATTTTTAAACAATTTGCGCCGAAAATTGGTTTAAACTGTTTATAAAAATTCTACTTTCTTGATTTCGAAGACGCAAAAGATTCCACTAATTAATTGAAAGAACTATTTTCCATGAACTCACTTTCAACGATATAACAGGACTACTACGATTATTTACAATGTTTATATACCTAGTTGAAATGAAAATCTTAAACATCTTATTTTTTATTGTATTGTCCCTCATATTCCATTTAAGAATAACATAATTATATTATACTATTATAATAATGTTATGAATACTGTGCCCCCCAATTAACATTGACCGATTGGCACCCTAGGTTGTAGCCTACTCAGCCTATTGGTTAAACGGCTCTGGATATTTCCATTTAACAATATTAGTTATAAGCTTAAAGATATTTCATTATTACGAATTTTTTTTTGAATTTTTTTTATGAAGTTGCTTACAGGTTCTTTAAATTTTTAATTTTCCCAAATTGCATATGTCTTTTTTGCTCTAAATGTTGAAAATTTAAATGTTCAAATTATTTTATAAAGAAATTTGGTGCATTTAATATCAACCATCTATAGAAATTTACTTTATCTGTTTTATTCGGAATAGTTTTTTTCGAAAACAATGGTAAATCGGTTTCAAGTTCAAAATAATGTAATACTATAAATACTGTAATACCATATATCCATCTCTATATCTCGACCGACCGTAGAATCTCTTCCGACCAAGAAGTCTCGTATTTTATACTTGAAAGAATTATAATTATGGATTTACGTAAACATATATAATTACGGAGAAAACGTTTTTTTAAAGCTATATAATAGGGTCTTAAAAGGCTAAAGTTGGGCAATTCCTTTGATTAAATTATGATGAAAGTAATAATAAAATGTTGATGATGGTTAATTTTTTTTTTGAAAATGAAAATATTATATTATACGCAATTTCAATATTAAATTTAAATACCCTGATTTGTCATGAGAGCCATGAGACATTTTTGAGGCGAAACAATCTTAGTATTTCAGGGCGGAGCTGAGTCGACGTGGACCCAGTGGCGTACGCAGGATTTTAGTTCGGTAAGGGTTTTCAATATATG